CCCAGGGGAGGGTGTGTGCAGCAGGAAGAACCAGCTCTCCAACAGGGATTCAGTTTGCGGGGGCTGTAACCATCTTGACTCCTAGTTTGGATGACTGAAATAACCCCTGTGCCAGCATATAGACCAGCAGCATCATTACCCCCTCCTTGTGTGGGTCCTCGTTGGTGCCCTGGGATTGGGGTGCTGGCCTCTGGGACTGAGGTGTCTCTCTGCAGGGGTGACCCCACTCCATGCTGCTCCTCACCAACAGATCCAAACAAGTTCTCTATCTTTGTCATGCAGTTCTGATGCCACTGTTGGATCACTGCAGTGTGCAACCTGATGCCAGGGTCGCCTCCCACCCCTTCTTTGGGCTGAATGCCCAGATCAGGTAAGGCCTGGAGATGTTCTCAGCAAAGGGAAGGAATCGATTTTGCTGGCGGCGGGGATTTTGCATGTTCAGACAGCTAATGGCGGAGCTTGTTTGGGTTCCCTGAGTAGGCTCATTTGATAATGCCTCATTTGATAATCCATTTGATAATGGATTTCCATAATGGCCTCTGGGTCAGGCTGAGAGACCCACCTCACCTCGATGTGGACAGGTCAGAAGTTCAGCCTGAAGCCTGTTGGTGTGCGTAGCGAGGGAGAGCAACGCGTGCATCCTCCCAGGGCAGGCTGTCTCCAACCAGTCTGGGCTCCCTGAACGCATGGTCTTCCTCAACATGCCAAGGCTCTCCCCTCAGGTCAGGGCAGTGTTCCCTCATTTCATGGCTCTGCTTAGCCTAAAAATAGACGGAGGCAGGAGATCTGGTGAAGGTGGCTGGCCACAGCCAGGCAGGAGCCTGTGAGTCCTTGCCTTGTGTTCCCACACCGAAGCCCAACGCAGGGCTAAGCCCTCACCATCCCATGAGGAGGAGGAGGAGGAGGGTGCTGTGAGTAACAACCATCTTCCATAGCCAGTCGCCCGCCCTGAACCAGCTGACGTCCCTGTACGTGGGCAGGACACATGCCCTGTGGAAGGACCCAGCTGTCATGGCCTGGCTGGAGCCCCAGACCCATGAGGTGCTGCGGATGGTGGAGGCCCGGGACCCGCTGGTACAGGAGGCCGAGCACAAGTGAGTGTGGAGGGGCAGTGGATTCAGTGCCTGGGACAGAGTGGGACCAGGGTCTGGCCTGGGCAGCAGTGACCCCGGGGTCACTCTCAGAGCCCCCCAGCTGCTGGTGTGATGCTGAGGGTTACACTGTGGGGCCAGGAGGGCAGAGGCTCTTCCATGCTTTCCACAAATAGGAATGAAGAGCTGGACCTGCACTTCAAGTCCTGCACTGCTTTCCCTAGTCTTGGCTGTCACCTGTGCCCTGGAGATGTCCTGGAGAGGGTGGAGGGTGGCCTGGAGGGGCAGGGTTCGTCACACAGGGCAGGTGGGAGCTTAGGAACGCTTGCCAAGTCCCTGCACTGAGAAACAGGAGAGAGCCATCAAGTGTTGTCCTGAACCAAGGTCAGCTTGCTCTGCTGAGCACTCTGCACCGCTCTCTGCTCTTTCTCTGGAGCTCAGCAGCTGCCTTTGGCCCACCCTAAGCCAGCTCCATCCAATATGGCCTGTCCCCTGGAGCCAGGGAAGCTGCTGACTCTGTGCTTGGAGCAGCAGAAATGGGAATTTGCCTGCTAAGGGTGCCCTACTCTGTCCCCTCCCCGCCTCAGGAGGAAGATCCGGTACCAGAGCGCTCCCAGGAACATCTACCGGCACGTCATCCTCTCGGAGATGAAGGAGGCCACGGCAGCCCTGCCTCTGGTGAGGGGCCTGATGGGGCACGGGGGCTGTGGCTGTGCATGGTGTGGTGGTGCTTGTGTCCTTGCTGGGCACATCTTAACCCCAGGCACCCACCAAACCTCAAGGTGTCCTCCCTATGGGCACACCTTCTCCATGCCTCTGTGTTTGCTGCAGCTGGATGTGCAGCCTTCATCCCTTCTCCTTCATCCCTTCCTTCTCCTTCCCCTGCAGGAGGTGACCTCACAGCCAGTGATGGGTTTTGACCCGCTCCCTCCTCTGGACTCCATAGTTTCTTACACCCGACCGGAAAGGTACCACCTCCACCCTGGTGCCTGTGCCAGCACAGCCGGCATGTTTCCATGTTCCTGGCACGTTCCCATGTTCCCGGCACACCCTCAGCCCCGGGCCAGGCTGCACGTGGGCACTCAGTACTGACATCCTCCTCCGTGGCAGAGGAAGGGCCGTGGTGCTCCCGACAGGCAGAGCTACAGGACGGACTGGTCTGGCTGCTTCCCGTGGTGGTCACTGGGAGCTGTTCCCAGCAATAGGGCAAAAGCCAGGGAAAACACGGGCTGTGGCTGAACTGGGGGAGTTTGGGGTAAATAGAGGTTTAAGTACACCCAGTCCTGGGTTACACACTGACTCACTCAGCAGAGCTGGTAGAATCACAGAATCCTGGAATGGTTTGGGTTGGAAGGGACCTTAAAGCTCATCATGTTCCTCACCATAGGCAGGTACACCTTCCCCAAGCTCCATCCAACCTGGCTTTGGTAGTGCTCTTAGCAACTGGTTTGCTTGGAGTTGCAGCTGTCTGGATCAGAAACCCCTGGAAATCCCCTCATTCCCTCCCTCAGGTCTGGCTCCGTCAGGGCCGTGGTTCTCCCAGTCCTGCCATATCCCCTTGAGCAGTCACGAACTGAGCTGTCCCTTCACCAGGGTGCCACTTGTGTCTTGCAGGACAAGCCATCCCTCCAATGAAAGCACTTTATCCCTCTTTTTCCGCTCGCTGTTGCCAAATTTTAACTTGCAGGTGGGTGCACGCTGGGCTGTGGGCACATCATTCCCACTCCAGGAGCAGCTGCTGGCAGCAGCCTGGTGCTGGTTTGGCACTGGCACTGTCTGTGTCCCTGCCACCACAGCACTGCTGTCTTGCAGGGGGACATCCGGCACGACGGGGACGACGAGGCCGGGGCAGGGCAGGACCTTAACCAGGGGGTGAACAGGCTGATGGCGGCCATGCGGGACATGCTGGCCAACATCCAGTTCCAGGAGCCCCCACGCGATGACAATCCCGAGGGCGATGGGGACTGGGATTGAGCCTGGGGTGTCTCTCCTCAAACCCTCTGACATCATTCCCCAATTTGTGTTGCACTCCAATAAAGTCACACAAATGCACTTGCTGTGGGAATGGGCTTTTTCCAGGGAGGGTGGCTGAATCCCTGGGATGGGCTCTGTCCAGGGAGGGGGATTGAATCCACAGGGATGGGCCCTGTCCAGGGAGGGGAGCTGCCTCCCTGGGCCCCTCTCCCCTCTCTCAACAGGGGACAAGGACGATCTGAGCATGTCCGAGCTAATCGACAGCAGCTGTCCCTTGTCCCCATGGCAGCTTAGTCCCCTTCTGGCCTCTTCCACACACAATTCCCATCCCATTCCCCTCCCCATTCTTCTGGCTGTTGTCCTTAATTCCCAGAGGGGTTTCTTTGCCCTCTCCTCCGGCTCCTTTGTGCTTCCTGCAGCTTCCTTCCCTCCACAAAACACTCTGCACCCTCTCACCACACTGACCCTTCCAAAGGTCTTGGAGTGCCCTATGCCACTAGAATTGTGCATGGAACAGCTTTTCCAGCCTTTTAATCATGTTTGTGGCAGAAATCATCCCCCCTCTTTGTTTATCCATCCTTTATTTCCCCACCTTCACCTTATAGAGCCAGGTTCAAGGTCAGCCACACTCAAACCTTAACTCATCTTTGTTCCCACAAAGCTTTTTCCTCTTTTTTGCTGAGTAATGGTGAATGTGTGGATTAAGTCCTTGTTTCTGCTGTGTTGTCTCCCTAGGGGATAGAACCAGGGTGGATTGGCTGGGTGCAAACCCCAGATCTCAAGCCAGCCCATCACTGCTCTGTTCCCCACTGGCACATCCAAATCCCGTGGTGTCCTAAGCCCTGTAGCTTGGCACTGTTGGCAGCACAGGACCCCATTCCCAATGTATCCAGCTGAGCCGTTTTCATCCATGCCGGAGGGAAGGGCTTCCCAACGGAAGTGGATAACCGTGGGATCAGCCTTTCATGGAGCTGTGAATGGCTCTTTGGCAGCCGAGCGGCTCCAGGCATCAACACGGACCCAAGGCACATGATGGTCAGATGGGGTCCATGTCCCCCCCGCCTGCCTGGGATCCCTGTGGCGCCGGGCTCTGCAGTGTCCCATTTAATCATGTCTTTGACGATTCGTATCGGATCCCACGCCTGCCCCATGGCAAAACACGTTCCCTGGGGCTCTGGGGCTGGGACCACTCCCAGTCCCAAAGTGGGGGGCAGCTTGGTTCCTGCAGTGGCCAGGGTCCCATGGGGGTCCCCAGGGTGTGTGGACACCCCAGGGTGTATGGATGACCCCCAGGGCACATGAACCCCTGTAGGACATACAGGCCTGCAGGGCACATGGGACCCCTCAAGTCACACAGTCCCCCAGAGTGCCTCCAGCATACATAGGACCCCAGGACACATGGAGACTCGAGGTGCCTCATCCCCCCAGGGCACAGAGGACCCCTATGGCACAAGCCCCCCATGCTGCATGACCCCAGGGACACATGGACCCTCCCAGGGCATTTATGACTCCTGGGCACGTGGTGACCCCAAGCAGTCACGTCCCCCAGGGCCATCCTGGAGGGCTGGCAGCCCCGGCCTTGGCAGTGGCCCCACTTGCTGCCAGGGTGCTACCGTCATGCAGATGCCCACCCTCCTCGGGAGGAGGAGCCATGAGAGTCGGCTTTAAAATGGGGCAGAGAAAGGGCCCTTTCTTCCCAGCACCCTGGGCCGGCGGGCGTAGGACGTGGGGCAGCGCTGGCGCAGAGGGTGGCCGTCACGCCGGGGGATCTCGGCGGGCACACGACACCCCCGGCACACCCCACACCTCCCATCCCCCGTTCCTCTGTGTCCCCTCGGCCTTGCTGCCGGGTGCCGCAGGAGCACTGGCGGGGCACAACGGGGGCTCGGGGGGTGTGTGGGCACCACAGGGTGCCCCGGGGCTGAGGCAGGGGCCATGTCGACACTGGCCCCCCTGCGTCTGCTGCGCGAGCCCTGGAATGCCAGTGAGGGCAACCAGAGCAACACCACAGTTGGAGCCAGCAGCGGCTGGTGCCAAGGGCTGGACATTCCCAATGAGCTGTTCCTGGCGCTTGGGCTGGTGAGCCTGGTGGAGAACCTGCTGGTAGTGGCCGCCATCCTGAAGAACAGAAACCTGCACTCGCCCACCTACTACTTCATCTGCTGCCTGGCGGTGTCTGACATGCTGGTGAGCATCAGCAACCTGGCGGAGATGCTCTTCATGCTGCTCCTGGAACACGGGGTGCTGGTGATGCGCCCCAGCATTGTCCGCCACATGGACAACGTCATCGACATGCTCATCTGCAGCTCTGTTGTGTCCTCCCTCTCCTTCCTGGGGGTCATCGCTGTCGACCGCTACATCACCATCTTCTACGCCTTGCGCTACCACAGCATCATGACGCTGCAGAGGGCCGTGGTGACCATGGCCAGCATCTGGCTGGCCAGCACCGTCTCCAGCACCGTCCTCATCACCTACTACCACAGCAACACCATCCTCCTCTGCCTCATCAGCTTCTTCCTCTTCATGCTGATCCTCATGCTGGTGCTCTACATACACATGTTTGCCTTGGCCCGCCACCACCTCCACAGCATCTCCAGCCAGCAGAAGCCTCCCACTGCCCACCACGGTGGCAGCCTGAAGGGCGCTGTCACCCTCACCATCCTCCTGGGGGTCTTCTTCATCTGCTGGGGGCCCTTCTTCTTCCACCTCATCCTTATTGTCACCTGCCCCACCAACCCCTTCTGCACCTGCTTCTTCAGTTACTTCAACCTCTTTCTCATCCTCATCATCTGTAACTCGGTGATTGACCCCCTCATCTACGCCTTCCGGAGCCAAGAGCTCCGACGGACGCTGCGGGAGGTGGTGACGTGCTCCTGGTAGGCAGCGGGACGCGGTACCGGCACGGCCACCCCCGCCCCGAAACGGACGGATGGATGGATTGGTGAATGGATGGGATGAGCCGCGGGATGCCCCCGTCCGGGCTCGAAGCTCGCGGTTCCCAATAAAGGCTCTTTGCAGTGACGCTATGGCTGGCATCGGGCAGCCCCGGGCAGCCCCGGGGGGAACGGCCCCTCTCTGCCTACTCCCGGCTCGGTTGCTCTCAGTGGGGACCGGCTGGTACCGGGAGGAACCGGCAGGGCGGCGGGAGGCTAGTCTCCACGCGGGGGGCGGCCCTGGCCGCCCCCGGACAAAGGGCCCATCCCTGTTGTCTTTGTTCTCGGGCCGCGCCCGCCGCCGCCCACCCCGGCACCGGCCCTGTCCCCGATGCCGCGGGGGCTCCCGGCGACCCGACCACCCGGGGTGGCCTCTCCGTGCCTTGTCCCTATCTCCCCGTTATGGGACGCAGTTGGGGGGGTGTCCCGTGTGCATGTCCCCTCCGCCCCGCCGCTGCCGCCGCCGCCCCAGGATGCTCCCGACGATGCTGCGCGGCCCCAGGATGCCCCCATGGGTCCCGGGGTGTCCCCGTTCCCCGTGGGTGCAGGGGGTGCCCCCTGGCCGTGCCCCCCGCGGCTGCCGGGGCTCCCCGCTCCGCCGCGGCGCGGCGTGGCCGCGGGCGTGGCCGTGGGCGTGGCCGGGCGGGGCGGCCCGGGCGGTGCCGGTGCCGCAGGGCTGTTGCAGCGCTGCGGCGGCGGCCGCTGATTGGCTGCGGGCGGCGGTGACGTCAGCGGCCGGCCCGGTGCGGCGGCGGGCGCCTATAAAGGCGGTGGCGGCGGCGGGTCCGCCCCCCGCGCTCCCGGTGCCGCTCTGCTTCGGTGCCGCTCCGCTCCCGGCCCCTGCCCGCTCCCGTCCCGCTCCGCTCCGGCCCGGCCGCACCATGAGGGAGATCGTCCACATCCAGGCGGGGCAATGCGGCAACCAGATCGGCGCCAAGGTAACGGCGGCGCCGCCCCGCCCCGCCCGCCGCGGCGGAGCCGGGCGGCGGACAAAGACCGGCTCGCCCTCCCCTTCCCTGCCCTCCCCCCGCTCCCGCCGCACCGGGAGGACAAAGCGCCCCGCCCCCTCCCGCGCCCCCCGCCCCCCGCCTTTGTCCGTCAGCACCGCGGACAGCGCCCTCCCGGAGCCGCGCCCCACCCGGGGCTTGGGGGGTCCCGGTGCCACTCGCCCTGCTGTGTCCTGACCGGGATTTGGGGGATCCCGGTGCCTCTGCCCCGCCCTGACCGGGGGCTGGGGGTTCTCGGTGCCACTCGCCCTGCTGAGCCCCTCCAGGGGTTTGGGAGGTGCTGGTGCACCCCCTCCTGCCCTGCCTTGGTCGGGGTTTGGGGGTCTCAATGCCCCCGCCACGCCCTGACCAGGGCTTGGGGAATCCCAGTGTCCCCCGCCCCGCTGAGCCCTGACCAGGGTTTGGGGGTCCCAATGCCCCTACCACGCCCTGCTCAGGGGTTTTTGGGTGTTTGTGGCATCCCAGTGTCCACTGCTCTGCCCAGTCCTGGCCAGGGATGGGGGGATCCCGCTGCTCCCTACCTTGCCCGGGGTTTTGAGGGTGTTTCAGTGTACCCCACCCTGCTGAGCCACCTGTCCCCCCCAGTTCTGGGAGGTGATCAGCGACGAACACGGCATCGACCCCAGTGGCAACTACGTGGGGGACTCAGACCTGCAGCTCGAGCGCATCAGCGTCTACTACAATGAGGCCTCTTGTAAGCGACCCCCCCCAGCACCCCCCTGGAAGGGCAACCTGGAACCCCCACCCTGGGCTGCAGCGGGGCACCCCAGTCTGACCCCCCAGTGCAGCAGGAGCTGGGACTGTTGGGGCAGGGAGGGGGAGGAGGTAGAGGTACCCACCCCATGGGGGTCTAGGAGGGCACCCACCCCGTGAGACCCTGTGGTTTGCAGGGTTGTGGGGGGGGGGGCAGTCATGTGCACCCAGTTCCATGGAACCCTGTGGTTTGGGAGGGGAACAACATGTACACCCACCCCATTGGACCCTGTGATTTGTGGGGTGGGGACACACACAACACCTTTGCCCCAGCCCTGTTGGACCCTGGTGCACACCCACCTCGTCAGACCCTGTGGTTTGGGGGCAGCAGGGTACACATGTGCATGCAGCCCCATAGGACCTTGTGATTTGGGGGGGGGAGCATAACATATGCACACACCCCTGTGGGACCCTGTGGTGTGGGGGGGGGCATGACATGTGCACACAGTCCCATAGGACCCTGTGGTTTGGGGGGAGGGCTACACTTGCACCCACCTTGTAGGACCCTGTTGTGTGGGGGGAGACATGACATGACATGTGCTCCCACCCCAGGGGGCCGGGGGGGGCAGACATGTGACCCCGTGGTTTGGGCGGGGCTCCATGAGACCGACCCTGTGATTTGCGGGGGGGACACAATCTGTGTGCCCAGCCCCGTGGGACCCCGCAGGGTGCTGGGGGACACTCCCGGGGGTGGGGGTGGGGCGGCAGCAGATACGCTCCCTTCATGGGGTCTCTCTCAGCTCACAAGTATGTGCCTCGCGCCATCCTGGTGGACCTGGAGCCAGGGACGATGGACAGCGTGCGCTCAGGCGCCTTCGGCCACCTCTTCCGCCCCGACAACTTCATCTTTGGTAGGTCCCTGAGGAGGGAGGAGGACACCGCCCCCCTGCGTCCCCTCCAGTCCCCTGCGTCCCCTGCCCTGCCCGACCTGTCGCCATCCCCGGGGCACTCAGCAGCCACTCCCCTCCCGCGCCGCAGGGCCCGGCACCTCCGGCACGCCGCCAAACCTCTGCGGTTCCCACTTCCCACCCCACCCCGGCGTCAGATCTCCCCGGTGCTGCCAGCGGCAGCACCCGGTCCCAGCCCGGATCCCCTCCCCAGAGCCCTCTGGCGAGGGAGCGGGGAGCCAATGGCAATCGCAGCCTCTTTTCCCAGGGCAGAGCGGTGCCGGGAACAACTGGGCAAAGGGGCACTACACGGAGGGGGCTGAGCTGGTGGACTCCGTGCTGGACGTGGTGCGGAAGGAGTGCGAGAACTGCGACTGCCTGCAGGGCTTCCAGCTGACCCACTCGCTGGGTGGGGGCACGGGCTCGGGCATGGGCACCCTGCTCATCAGCAAGGTGCGGGAGGAGTACCCTGACCGCATCATGAACACCTTCAGCGTGGTGCCGTCCCCCAAGGTGTCGGACACGGTGGTGGAGCCCTACAATGCCACACTCTCCATCCACCAGCTGGTGGAGAACACGGATGAGACCTACTGCATCGACAACGAGGCGCTCTACGACATCTGCTTCCGCACCCTCAAACTGGCCACCCCCACCTATGGTGACCTAAACCACCTCGTTTCAGCTACCATGAGCGGCGTCACCACCTCCCTGCGCTTCCCTGGCCAGCTCAACGCTGACCTCCGCAAGCTGGCCGTCAACATGGTGCCCTTCCCGCGTCTCCACTTCTTCATGCCTGGCTTCGCTCCGCTGACAGCGCGTGGCAGCCAGCAGTACCGCGCCCTCACCGTGCCCGAGCTCACCCAGCAGATGTTCGATGCCAAGAACATGATGGCCGCCTGCGACCCCCGCCATGGCCGCTACCTCACTGTGGCCACTGTCTTCCGTGGCCGCATGTCCATGAAGGAGGTGGACGAGCAGATGTTGGCCATCCAGAGCAAGAACAGCTCCTACTTTGTAGAGTGGATCCCCAACAATGTCAAGGTGGCTGTGTGCGACATCCCACCGCGGGGGCTGAAGATGTCCTCCACCTTCATCGGGAACAGCACGGCCATCCAGGAGCTCTTCAAGCGCATCTCAGAGCAGTTCACAGCCATGTTCCGCCGCAAAGCCTTCCTACACTGGTACACAGGTGAGGGCATGGACGAGATGGAGTTCACCGAGGCCGAGAGCAACATGAATGACCTGGTGTCTGAGTACCAGCAGTACCAGGATGCCACGGCTGAGGAGGAGGGCGAGATGTACGAGGACGACGAGGAGGAGTCGGAGGCACAGGGCGCCAAGTGATGCCTGACACCACCCCCGACGCTGCCCGCGGCCCCCCTGGCTTCGCGCTGCTGCACCCCCCGGGTGGTGCCCCCCCTGCCGTTCCCTCAGTGTCTCCTGACCCCCTGCCCCCCTGAGCCAGCTCGGCTCCCCACCCCTCCGTCCCGCCTCCCCCCTTTTCATTTTTTACTGGTTCGTGTCTATTATTTTTTTTGAATACTTAATAAATTTATTGCTGTCCAGGTACTACCTGTCTGTACTCCTGGGAGGGGGACAGAGGACACCCCCACCGCTCAGTCCCCCCAGCCATTCCCACAGGAGGGGGGTGGTTGGGGAACCCCCCATACCTAAGCCATGACAATGCCCCTGTGTCCACCTGTGTCAGCCCATGGGCACCCCCGGGTTGTGCACTGCCCCCCACCTTCCTGCCCCACAGGTTCAATCCCCCAATATCTGGGGGTGCAGGTACCACCAAGGTGGATGGTGCCTTTGTCCCCACTGTCACTTTTCTCCATGATGGGAGGGAGTGGAGGGTGGCAGCTGCCTCCTTGTGCCAGGACAGAGTTGGTCCTTTGTCCCCCAAGCTGTGGTGGGGGCGCAGACCCCAGGGTGCTCCCACAGGGAGCATGTGCCCAGTTGTGAGAGATCCGGGGCATCCCCAGACCTGAGCCCCCTGGCTCTGGGGACCACCAGATGATGGGGCTGGGGGCTATAGGGACAAGGGGCTCTGGGAATGGAGGCTGTAGGGACAAGGGATGATGGGGCTGGGGGTTGGGGGGATGGAAGCTGTAGGGATGGGTACAATGGGGCTGGAGGTTTTAGGGAGATCTAAAAGGGGCAGTGCAGATGTCGCTGTAGGGATGGGAACAGCGAGGCTGGGGAGTGTGGGGCTGGGGACAGTGCAGGTGTCACTGCGGGGATGGGCACAGCGCGGGTGTCGCCGTGGGGGTGGAGCCGTGGGGGTGGGGGCCGTGGGGGTGGGGGCCGGGGGGGGGGGGGCTGTGGGGGTGGGCACAGCGCGGGTCCGGCGCGGTGCCGCGCGGTCCGCCGGCCGGCAGGGGACAGCAGCGCGGCGGGGCGGGGCCATAGGTGGGCGGGGAGCTGTGTGGGCGTGGCCACGGAGGGGCGGGGCTGTCGTTTCGGGGCGGAGCGCGCGGGCAGGCGCGACTGCGCGCGCGGTGAGCGGGGAAGGGGCGCTGCCCCCTGGCGGGCGGGCGGGGCCGCGCGGGGGCTCCGCGGGGCGCGGGGTCGGGGCGGGGGGACAGCGCGGGGACAGCGGGGCCCGCGGGGGGCCGGGGACGGGGCGGGTACGGAGTGACCGTCGGCCGAGGCGGGCGGTGGCGGCGGGGCAGGGCAGGGGCACGGGCGTGGGAGGCGGAGGAACGGGTCTGTCCGCGGGGACGAGGTGTTGGTGTCAGGAGCGGGGTGTCGGTGACGGTCCTGGGGTGTCACTGCTGGTGACAGGGCGTCGTTGCCGTTGTCGGTGCCAGTGCCGGGCTGTCGTTGGATGTCAGTGCCGGGCTATCGGTGGGTGTCAGTGCCGGTGAGGAGATGTCGGTGCTGGGGTATCAGTGACGGTGCTGGTGACAGTGTGTTGGTGCCGGTGATGGGGCGTCGGTGCCCGTGACGATGTATCGGTGCCAGTGCCAGGGTATCAGTGCCGGTGACATGGTGTTGGTGACAGTGTCAGTGCTGGTGCTGGAATGCAAGTGTTGGTGACAGGATATTGGTGACAGTGTTGGTGCCGTTGAGGCAGTATCGGTGCCTGTGATGGGGTGATTGTGATGGTGCCAGGGTGTGGGTGCTGGTGATAGGGTGCAATTGCCTGTGACAGGGTGTTGGTGATGGTATTGGGGTGTCAGTGCCGGGGTGTCAGTGACAGTGTTGATGCCGGTGCTGGTGGGGTGTGGCTGAGGTGGGGGGCTGGTGCCAGTGTCACCCCGACACTGTCCCCCAGCAGGACGGTGACAATGGCGTCGGACGAGCGGCTGGCCCGCTTCCGCCAGGCCCACCTCAACCCCTTCAACAAGACCCCCGAGCAGCCAGAGCGCTCCTACGGAGAATCCCCTGTCCCAGGTGGGTGCTGACTCACCAGGGCGGGCAGCGGGGCCCAGCCCCACCGTGGTATCCCCCTATTCCGGGGGTGTGCTCAGCCCCCCCATGGTACCCCACTTTGCAGCCCAGCAGCCGGATCCCACCCCAGGGGACCCTGAGGGCGCCCTGGACCTGGGGCTGGCCGAGGACCACTTCTCCCGCCCTGTGGTGAGTGGGGTGGGCACTGTGGGGATGGGGAGGGTTTGTGGGGCTCGGCTCACCCTCCTCCTCCTCTGGTGGTGGCTACAGGGGCTAATCCTGGCATCGGACGTGCCGCAGCTGCGCCGGGCCATTGAGGAGTGCAAGCGGGTGATCCTGGCACTGCCCGAGCACTCGGAGCGGCAGAAGGACGCTGTGGTCCGGCTCATCCACCTCCGCCTCAAGCTGCAGGAGCTGAAGGTGGGAATGGGATTAGGCCTGGGGGGGCCTCCATTGCTGGGGGGGCCATGCTGACCCCCTATCCCTGGAAGTGCTCCAGGCCAGATTGAATGGGGGTTGGAGCAACCTGGTCTAGGGGAAGGTGTCCTTGCCCCTGGCAGGGGGGGACTGGATGGGCTTTGAGATCCCTTCCAACCCAAACCATTCCACAGTTCTGTGATTCTGTACCTCCTCCTTTCCAACCTGCAGGACCCTGGCGAGGATGAGCCCAACATCCGGGTGGTCCTGGAACATCGCTTCTACAAGGAGAAGAGCAAGAGCGTCAAGCAGATGTGTGACAAGTGCAGCACCATCATCTGGGGACTCATCCAGACCTGGTACACCTGCACAGGTGGGTTTGGGACACCCTCTCTGTGTCCCTGCCCCCCCTATCCCTACACTGACATCCTCCCATGCCCCCCAGGCTGCTACTACCGTTGCCACAGCAAGTGCCTGCCGCTGGTGAGCCGGCCATGTGTGCGGGCCCAGGTGAGCCACCGCGCCGAGTACCAGCTCAGCATCTGCCCTGAGAGCGGGCTGGACAGCCAGGACTACCGCTGTGCCGAGTGCCGTGCCCCCATCTCCCTCCGTGAGCCCCCACACCACCAGAGGGGCTGGGGCAGCTGGGGGGCTGGGGGCTGGATGGGGCTGGGGGAAGGTGGGGGCTCTTGGGGCTGGGGGGAGCTGAGGAGGTGGGGCAGGCTGGGGGCTCTGTGGGGCTGGGGAGTGTGTGGTATTGGAGATAACTGGGGGGGCTGGACTGATCTGGGGGCTCTATGGGCCTGGGGGAAGCTGGAGGCTCTGTGGGGCTGGGGGCTGAGGGGTTGAGCTGAGGGGGCTGGAGGGGTTGAGGGGAACCAGGGACTCAGGGGGTTGGCTGGGGGAATGTGAAGGGCCAGGGGCTTCATGGAGCTGTGTGGGGCTGGGGGGAGCTGGGAGTTGTGTGGGGCTGGGCTCCCTTGGGGGCTCTGTGGAGCTGCGGGGAAGGGGGGGCCAGGGCTGCCTGGGGCTCAGGGGCTGTGGGGTGGGAGGTGTGTGAGGCTGGGGAGAGCTGAAAGTGGGGGCTCCGAGGGCTATGTGGGGCTGGGAGCCATGGGAAGCTGGGGAAGGTGACATTGTGGCCCCACCATGTCCCTGGGTGCTAGTGGGTGTCCCAGGGGCACACACGGTGTGGGACAAACAGGGAGCAGGGCAGTGCTGGTGCCAGCCCCGTGCCAGCCCCATGCCACCACAGGGGGGGTGCCCAGCGAGGCCCGACAGTGCGACTACACCGGCCTCTACTACTGCTCCAGCTGCCACTGGAACGACCTGGCTGTGGTGCCCGCCCGTGCCATCCACAACTGGGACTTCGAGCCCCGCAAGGTGCCCCTGGCAGAGGGTGGGGGCACCCCAGGGGGTCACGGGGGTCCCTGGGGGCCATGGCTCTGGGTAGTGGTTACTTGGGGGGCCATGTCCCTGGTCGTGGGGGTCCCTGGGAGCTGCATCCATGGGTAGAGGTGACTTGGGGGGCTGTGTGCCTTGTCATGGGGGTCCCTGGGGGCCATGTCCCTTGGTAGAGGTCACTTGGGGGGCCATGTCATGGGGACATGTCCTGATTATGGGGGTCCCTGGGTAGAGATCACTTGGGTTGGGCCATGTCCTCAGGGCTGTGTCCCTGCAATGGGTCCCTGCCGGGGGTCCCTGGAGTGGTGGTGACAGGGCTGGTGGGTGCCGGGGGTGACGGTGCCCCGGTGGTGGTGGCAGGTGTCACGGTGCAGTATGAGGTACCTGGCACTGATGGTGTCACGGCCGGTGCTGAAGCTGCGGGAGATCAACCCACTGCTGTTCAACTACGTGGAGGAGCTGGTGGAGATCCGGGTGAGTGCTGGATCCAGGGGGACACCCCAAGGAGCAGGGGACACCCCACGGGGCTAGGGGTGACACTGTGGAAGAAGTGTGGGGTGAGGAGGAAGTGGGGGGACCCTGGTGGCTCCCGCTGAGTCCCACAGAGGGAAAGCAAGGTGAGGTGGGGCGTTTGGGGCAGAGGATGCCCAGACTGCTACAGGGATGAACTTGACCAAATCCGGTCCTGTCATGCTCCTATCTCCATCCTGTCCCCATCCCATTCCCAACCCTGTCCCCATCCTCATCCTGCTCCTGCCACTGCCCTTTTCCCTGTCTTGGTCCTCTTCCTGTCCCATCCCTGTCCTCATTCCTGTTCCCATCCCTGTCCCCATTCCCATCCCATCCCTGTCCTCATTCCTGTTCCCATTCTTGTCCCCATTCCTGTACCTATTCCCATCCCATCCCTGTCCCCATTCCCATCCCACTCCTGTCCTAATCCCCATTGTGTCCCATTCCCACACCATCCCTATCTTATCCTCACCCCATCCCCATCCTGCTCCTGCTGCCACCCTTTTCCTGTCCTTGTCCCATCCCTGTCCGCACCCATCCCCATTCCTGTCCCCATTTCCATCCCACCCCATCCTGCCCCGTGCCCTGCAGAAGCTGCGCCAGGACATCCTGCTGATGAAGCCCTACTTCATCACCTGCAAGGAGGCGATGGAGGCGCGGCTGCTGCTGCAGGTCAGGCCTAGGGGTGCTGGGGGGCCACAGGGGGCCAGGGCCAGGTGCGTCAGTGACAGTCACACAGCAGTGATGGTCACAGTGACCTGTCCCCCGCAGCTGCAGGACCGGCAGCACTTCGTGGAGAACGATGAGATGTACTCGCTGCAGGACCTGATTGACATCGAGGCCGGGCGCCTGGGCTGCTCCCTCACTGAGATACACACACTCTTTGCCAAGCACATCAAGCTGGACTGTGAGGTAAACCCATGCCGTGGGCCAGAGCCAGGGGAAGACCCCCGTGGGGCTGGTGGGGTCACCATTGTCTCCTGCTCCCCCAGCGCTGCCAGGCCAAGGGATTCGTGTGTGAGCTGTGCCGGGAGGGTGACGTGCTCTTCCCCTTCGACAGCCACACCTCGGTCTGTGCCGACTGCTCTGCCGTGTTCCACAGGTACCAACACACTGGGGTGGGACGGGGGCACACAGGGGTGGCATGGGGGTGACACGGCATTGTCCCCTCCCCTCCAGGGACTGCTACTATGACAATTCCACCACCTGCCCCCGGTGTGCCCGGCTGAGCCTGCGGAAGCAATCCCTGTTCCAAGACTCCGGCACGGAGGGAGAGCCCTGAGGAGGGTTTGACCTCATGGAGGGGCTCAGCCCCACAGCTGTTCCCCACCCACTACAGGACCCTGGGACAGACACAATCAGCTCCATGCCGGTTTAGGTACTGGGGTGGCCCTGGCTCCGGGACCCTCTGCCTGTGGGAACGGCAGTGCTGCCAGGGGGCACAGCTGGACCCCAGCTGTTCGTGGGAACATGGGGACCCCTGCCGGAGGAGCCGGGATCTGGTTAACTGGGATCCGGTTAAGGTGCCACAGCGGCTCCTGCCGTCCCTGTGTGGAACTGGGGTGCGGGCAGGGATGGGGTGCGGGCAGGGACCGGTGCTCCGTTGTCGCGGGGCAGTGGGCGCTGCCAGGAGGGCTAACCCCGCGACCGGACCGAGCCCACACACACACACTACTGGGATCCGATCTCCCCCCAGCACCGCCGTTAACGGGGCTGAGCCCCAAGGAAGTTGCGGGGTAGGGGGGACCGGGCGTGGCGCGGGGCCGGTGTCTCCCCCTTCCCTCCCGGTGTTTCCTGTAGCATTAACGAGCCTCTTTGCGCAACCCAGCATTCGTGTTTCTGCTTCGGGCCGGCGGCGGGGGGCAGCGGAGGGGCTGAGGCTCCCGCGCGGCGGAGCGAACACCGGGACCGACCCCGCACCGGGCCGGTCCCCGGTCCAGCGCCGCCCGGTGGGGTGGAGTTGCGTTCTGTGGCGTTATCGGGGACGTGCCGCGGTCACCGCCAGTCTCTCGCTCACCGGGAGGGGCTGCGGCCGCACTGCCTCGGCACCAGCCGACCCCCCCCGCCCCGATGCTCCCCGGAGTGTCCCGTGACCCCAACCCTTCTCGTTTGCCCCCCGGCCATGGCGCAGACGGGCAGAGGCCGGCGGTGTGTCGGTCGGTCGGTTTTACCGGATCACAGCGCTGCTACATCAGAACCGGGCGGGCACCGGCACCGGCCGCGCTCCGTCGGGCCGGGCTGGGCCGTTCGACCCGTCCCGTCCTGCCCCACCCGCCGCTCCTGGCAACCGGAGCCGTGCCGCCCCCGGGGCCCGGCGGGGCCGAACGGGTTCCCCCCCCCCCGAAGCCGCGGGTGACCGGCTGTGGGCGGCCCCAGTGCCTCCCCCCGCGGGGCTGGGGCCGCCTCTGCCCTCCGGGCGGGCTAACGGGAGTCCTGCGCCCGGGGACGGGCTCCATCGGTACCGACGGGAGCAGCACCGGCGTGTCCCGGTGTCCTCCAGCAGGTCCTGTCCCTACGGCTCCCGCGGGCGCTCGGCGGGCAGGAAGGCGTCCGGGGGTCCCGGGGGTCCCGACGGCAGCTCGGGGTCACTCAGGTGCTTCTTGTCGCGGCCCTGCTCCCGCGCGCGGGTCCAGGAGGGCGAGCGCAGGTACCCGGCCCGCGGCACCGGCGGCGGCTGCAGCCCTGTGGGACGGACGGGGTGGGCGGGCGGTCAGGGACGGGCCGGCACTGGCGGACAGAGCGGGACCGGCGGCCCCGGGCCCCCCGCTCACCGCCGGGAGTCTCTCCGGCCGCGTTCTCCTCGTCGGAGTCGGCGAAGACCTCGGCTAGCTCCTGGTCCGACATGTCCGTCAGCTCCGTCAGGTCCAGCAGGTCGAAGTGCACCTCCAGCGAGGACACGCTGCTCAGGGGCTCTGCGGGCACCGGGGGGGGGGGCTGGAGACCCACCGCTATCGCCCACGGGGTGGGCAAGGGATGAGGGGGTCGGGGGGTCTGGTGCTCGGGGGCCCAGGGAGCTGGGGGGGTGAGGAGCTTGGTGGGAGCCACAACTGGCTGGGGGCTGGCAGGGGACCCCAGGGACAGGAAGGGACCCCAGGGGCTGGCAGAGACCACAGGGACAGGCAGGGACCCCAGGGGCTGGCAGGGGACCTGAGAGGCAGGCAGGAGAGCCCAGGGGCTGACAAAGGATGCCAGAGACAGGCAGGAGACCCCGGGAGCAGGCAGGGAACCAGGGGCAGGCAGAGATCCCAGGGACAGGCAGGGACCCCAGAGGCTGGCAGGGGGTGTCAGGGACAGCATTGTCTCTGGGGACAAGCAGGGACCCTACACAGGGCCACACTCACGTCGACGTTCAGTGACCTGCAGCAGGCCGGCGCTGGGGATAGGGATGCCACCCTGCTCTTCTGGGGGGACTCGAGGGGTCTCCTGGGCTGGCCCGTGGGTGGGGGTCCCCGCTGGGCGCTCCAGGGCCAGCGGCTCCTTGCCGAGTTCTGCCACACCAGCACCTGCCACGTTGGTGACGGCAGCTCCCTCGGGGGCCCCCGTGGGGTGCCCAGCTGAGGGGCCAGGGGGAGTGGGACCCCCGGGAGGGACGGGGGGACAGGCAGAGCTGCCCAGGACTCTCATGCCGGCAGCTGGCAGCCCCCACTCCCCGCCCCACGCCCCCTCCCCGCGCAGCCCCTTTGTGTCGGCAAGACAAAGCACAGCCTGTGCCGGGGCCCCGACAAGGGCGGATTGTGCTGGGATTGTCACCGGGAAGAGCCAGTGGGGACAAGGCGGCCGTGGCTGTGGCACATGGTCATGGCACAGGGTCATGGCACACAGTGGTAGCAGAGCCCGTGGTTGTGGCACAAGGTGGTGGCACAGTAGTGCCTCAGGGCTCAGTGGGCACCGAAGGCAGGAGGAGTCTGTGTGCCTAGGGCAGCACCAGGGGACACACCACCCTCTCCCCTGTCTTGGCCCGAGGTCAGTGCTGGTGCCCTGGCACCATGTGCCACCACTGGGCCATGCTACCACCGGCCATGATGCAGGGTGACATGGCACAGGGATGGGCATTGCCTCCCTCTCCCCAGGATTCTGACAGCGGGGCAGGGACAGAGCCCCCCAGCCCGACAGGAAAAGGGATGTTATGGGGTGTTGGGTTCCTGCTCCTGGCACATGGAGCTGCGGGAGACTGGCAGAACAACAGACCCCTGCTTCAACACCAGCTCTGCCACATCCTGACCCCAGGGTGGGACTGCGCACCCCGTGCTGCTGGCACCTTCTCTCCAGCTGGGAAACCGGGTCTCCACCCCGCCCCAGGGCTGGGAAGACCACTCCTGGGGTTGACATGGGGGCTGCCCGCTCCTGCCCGCTCCCACCACCCCAGCCCACGCGGTGCCCAGCTCCAGTGTCACGGTAAGGAGCACAGCTCCCCCGATCCCCACTACGACCCCACCCACCAGGGCGCTGGTCCCGGCCGCAGAATTCCCCTCTGGCCTCTGCCTGCATGGTCCCGCTGTGCCACCGGCCGTGCCACCGGCCACACCACCCGCTCCGGCCTGGGCTCACCGGCTGCCTGGCGGGAGCGAGGATGGATCAGGGATCTCTCCCGCACACCGTGTGCTGACTCACGGCAACTGCAGAGCCGGGCAGCCACCGGTACCAGCACCCCATGGCACTGGGCACCCCACAGAACCTGCGGCCTGTCCCAGTGGCACTGTCCCCCCAAGGCCTGGTGCCCCCAGTGCTCCTGGTGCCACGGCCAGGGCTGCCCCATGCCGGCAGCCATGGCACAGCCATGTGCAGGGCACAGGCGGGAGGGTCGGGCGTGCAGGGGAGCCGAGCCCTGGCACCGCCTCTGTCACCAGGTGCAGCCCCCCCCCGAACACCGGGGCCCCCCCAGCTCCACTGGCATGGCCACCTCCCTGTCCCTGAGCACCTCTGCACACAGGCACTAGCACAGCTGTGTGGGGTGTCTGCCAGGCACCCCCCTGCTGCCCATGTCCCCTGGGTACCCCACTGCTACCCCATGTCCTGTGAGCACCCTACTGCATCCCCAAGTCCTGTGAGCACCCCACTGCACCCCCACATCCCCGGGCTCCCCACTGCTCTTCTACACCCCTGGCATCCCACTGTCCCCCCACATTACCTGGGTACCCCATTGCAACCCCAGGTCCCCAGTGCACCCCATTACTCCGTCTGACCTTCTGGACAGTCTACCACACCTCCTGGATACCCCACTGCACCCACGGGCACCCCACTGCACCCCCACATCCTGTGAGCATGCTAGTGCCCCTCATGTCCCCAGGGCAGTCCAGTGCTCCCTCAGACCCCCTGGACAGCACCTTGTATTCTGCGTACCCCTCTGTTCCCCCCCATCCCCGACTCTCCATGCACAGACCCCCCGTGTCCCGCCCAGGCCCCCCCACCCCACAGCCCCCCACCCCTGCAGCCGGGCACCCTCAGCACGGCCCCACGTTCCCCTATGCCCCCCCAATGCACAACCCCCAGCACCCCCTCCCCTTGCACTCTCTCTCTTGCACTCCCGCCCTACATCTCCTTGTGCCCCCGCCGCACGCCCCGCGGGGCCCGGCCCGGTTCCACGGTGATGGGCGCTCCGGTCCGTGCCGCCCCCCCGGGCCCCCGCCCTCACCTGCGGTGGCGGCCGCTGCCGGAGCCGCCATGGGCCGGGTCCGGAACCGGAGCCGGAGCCGGTGCCGGTGCCGGTGCCGGTGCCGGTGCTGGGCGGGGCGGGCCCGGTGCCAGCCCGCAGCCCGCACGGTCCTGTCCGCCGCGGCGGGGGCGGGGACACCGGGGCGGGGACACCGGGATGGGCGGGGACACCGGGATGGGCGGGAGGCACGAGGGGGACAGGGGAGGGTGCGGGGGGGACCGGGGAGAGCGGGGGGACACAGGGGACCAGGTGTGCCGCAGGAATCCCGAGGGTGCGGGAGCGGAGCCGGGGGACCCCAGCTGCGGGGGCAGCCCGGGGCGCGGAGGTGGGCGCGAGGGTGGACTGGGCTGTGCCGGGCACAGCGGGACCCCCCCAATCCGCCCGGTCCTCCTGATCCCCCCGAACTCCCCCGATTCCCCCCGGTGTCCCCGGTGTCCCCTCGATCCCGCCCCGGATCCCCCGCCGGCCCCGCCCCCGTTGCCAGGGCGGAGCGTGGCGTTGCTAGGGGGCGTGTCCGTCAGCAGCGCAACTCTCGCGAGATTTCACTTTCCTCTCGCGACACCTACCTGACCGTTGCCGGGAGACCGCGGCGCCAGCGGCCGCCGCCATGGTGAGAGCGGGCCCGGGCCCGGGCCCAGGCCCGGGGGAAAGAACCAGGGCGGCTACTGAAGGGTTCTCTGGAGCCGGGGGTGCGGACAGGGGAGAGCAGTGGGGCCCGGCCTGCCCCGGTCGGGCTTGGCCCGAGACCCGAGGGCTGGGGGCCCCGGCCCGCTCCGCTCCCGGGGAGGGCACAGAGCCCCTCGGCGCCTTCCCAGCGCTGCGGTGACGCTTCTGAGCTATTACTTTGGGTATAGGTGTTTTGTGGACCTGAGCCGGCAGCGGTGTCACATGAACCACGGAGGTCCTGGGTGGTCCCAGAGGCTTCCAGCCTCCTCGCGGGACCTCCGGCTCCGTGTCACTGCTCTGGCCCTGTTCCTGCCGTGAGAGCAGGGATGCTCCGGGGCCGGCACGGTGGACCTGAGCAGCACGGCTTCCCTCTCACCCAGTCACCTCCTGCGTTTGGCTTCCTGTCCTCAGGCACCCAAAAAGAAAGGATCGACTAAAGGGAAAGGTCCGGCAGTGGTGGATGCCTTAGACCTGGAGGACATGAGCAAGGAGCAGGTGAGAGATTCCCCAGGCCATCAAGAACAGCTCTCGGAACCCCTATGTGGCGCCTGGCCTGGCTCTGGGGACAACAGGTGGCAGAGGGTGACAGAGACGAGCAGCCGGGGTTTGTGTCACTGCCTGACGCCTGTCTGGGCTGGGGAGGGGTGTTCTTGCTGTTCCTGGAAAGAGCAGCCACCTCATCCCACCCTCTGCTCTCCAGCTCTGTGTGCTGAGTACTGCTGAGGCACATCCAGTCCTGGGGTCAGTTCTGGGCCAGTCACGGCAAGAAAGAGGGGCTGGAGCGTGTCCAGGAAAGGGAATGGAGCTGGGGAAGGGTCTGGAACACCAGGAGTGGCTGAGGGGGCTCAGCCTGGAGAAAAGGAGGTTCAGGGGGGACCTTCTCACTCTCTGCAACTCCCTGACAGGAGAGTCACGCTCTGCTCCTGGGGAACAAGGGACAGGACCAAAGGAAACAGACTCAAGTTGCACCAGGGGAGGTTTAGGTTGAATATTGGGAAAAATTCTTCATGGAAAGGGCTGTCCAGACCTGGCACAGCTGCCCAGTGCTGTGGTGGAGTCCCCATCCCTGGAAGGATTTAAGACTCGTGTAGATGTGGCACTTGCGTACATGGTTTAGTGGTGGCCTTGGCAGTGCTGGGGGAATGGTTGGACTTAATCTTAGAGGCTTTTCCAACTCAAACAATTCCATGATCCAGGAGTATTTAGACACCTGAGAATGGTGTTACTGGATACTGTGAGCCAGAACCCTGTCACAGGTTGCTGGAAGTGGGATGAGGTTTTGTGACTCCTTTTCCAGAGGCTGTTTGGTTCGGTCAGGGACCTCTGCTGCTCCATCCCAGTGACAACCACCATGTCCTGCCAGGTTTGGGACATGGAGTCTCCAAAGGCACGTGTCCGAGGCCTCCCCTCTGCCTTACCTGTTTCTTCCTCTCGGCTATGCAGCTGCTGCAGCATGTCCAGCGTATCCGGGAGGAGCTGGATCGGGAGCGGCAGGAGCGGAATTCTTTCCAGCTGGAGTGTAACAGGATTCAGAGCTGCTGGGACATCACCCGCCGGGAGCTGGAGGAGAAGAAAGCGGAGCTGCGGAGCCGGGACCGGGAGATGGAGGAGGCAGAGGAGCGGCACCAAGTGGAGATCAAGGTGGGGGAGAAGGGCTCCATGTGAGCCTTGAGCAGCTCTGAGGAGGAGAAGAAGGGGAAGAGGAGGAGGAGCTGGGAGTGTCTTGCCAGCATCCCAGCTCCAGGTGTCTCCTGCTGAACCCTTCACCCAGTCTCTGGCCTGTCCTTAGGTGTACAAGCAGAAGGTGAAGCACCTGTTGCATGAGCAGCAGGAGACCCTGACAGAGCTGAAGGCAGAGGGAATCCTGTCCCTGAAGCGGGCCCAGAAGGATCACTGGGACCAGGAGCAGGAGCTGTGGAAAGAAAAGCGCTCCTTGAACATCAAATTGAAGGAGCAGGAGTTGGCCAATGAAGCAGCAGTGACAAACCTCTGCCTGGTACGTCCCTGGCCAGGCTGGAGCCACCTGTGAGGCACTTCAGCCCCAGGGTGGGAGCAGGGGCAGGATCCTGCCTCCCTGGCTTGCTCCATGGGGTGGGTTTTCTGGTGCAGGAATGGGGAGGAGGGATTCCTGGATGACTCCTCTCCTGCAGCGGGGAGCTGTGAGAGCAGCTGGAGAACCTCCAAGCCGCTGTTTGCACCAACATTGGGATCAGAATTCTTTCCCAGGGAGCAGGAGGGAATCCCTGGGGATGGGCTGACTCAGGATTTGGTTCTCTCCTCTAAGATGGAGCTTCTCCCTTGCAGAAACATGAGGAGGAGATGGCCCGGCTGCGTAGCGACTTCGAGGCACAGGCCAAAGGTCAGGGGAGAGGCAGAACCTGCGGGAGCAGGATGGGGAGAGTTGCTCTGGGCTCCTGAGCAGCACCTCAAGCGCACATGGGTTGGAGGTTCCCTCCAGTTCTGGCAATTTTTTCTGTCCTAGTTCTGACTGTTTTTTCCCTTCAGTTCTGGCCGGTTTTCCCTACAAGTTCCAGCTGTTTTTCCCAGCCAGTTCTGTCCAGTTTCCTCCCCAAATCTGTCCAGTTTGCCCTCCAGTTCGACTGTTTTTTCTCCCCTCCCCATTTTGATCACTTTTCTTCCCCAGTTCCAGCCTGTTTCCCCCCAGCTCTGGCTACTTCCCCTCCCCAGTTCCCTGTGCTGTGGCAGTGCCAGCCCTTCTCCTGGGAGGTGGGATGGCTGGAGGAGCCTTTGCTGTGTCCTCCCTCCAGTGTCCCCCTCAGAGGACATTTCAGGTTGTGACAGGCCCACTTGGGGCTTTTCTGTGCCCTCTTTCCAAGGATGTCATTCCTGGGCTCAGCTCTCCCTGGACCCCACAAGGGTCTCGATGCCGATGTGGCAGCACAGGAGCTGGGGCATGGGGTCTGCAGAAGGACCCCCCCCACCCAGCCCCCCTGTGCCCCCCAGAGATGGATGCCAAGTACAACAGGAAGATGCAGGCGCTGCGGGAGGAGATGGACCTGCGGAGAAAGACGGAGATCCATGAGCTGGAGGAGAGGAAGAACAACCAGATCAGCGAGTTGATGGGGAAACACGAGGGGGCTTTCGGTGACATCAAGAACTACTACAACGATATCACTGCCAAAAACATGTCACTCATCAGCCTCCTGAAGGTACTGCCTATTCCTGTGCCACCCCTCCACCCAGGGACCACTCCTGCCAGGGTGTCACCTGGATTTGGCAATTCCCAGGTGTTGATGCGGTTGCTGCTGGTGGGCTGAACACCGTCACATGAGCAGGGAGGGTGTCCTGAGGGTGGTAGTGGGGGGGTCTCTGAGGGGCTGGGCAGCTCGCAGGAGCCAGCACTCGTGTTCCTAAGAACAGGAGCAGGTGGAGGAGATGAGAAAGAAGGAGATTGTCTTGGAAAAGGAGAAGGCAGATGTGCTGCTGCAGAACAAGGAGCTGACGGAGCCGCTGCAACAGGCCCAGGAGCAGGTGGCTGAGCTGCAGAAGAAGTTGGCTCGCTATGATAAGGACAAGGAGATCCTGATGGTGCGTGGCCAGCCCAGTCCTTTCCTGGGCTTATTCCTGGAGGGAAAGCAGTGGCCTCTGCCACTCAGTGTGCTGGGATTGCTGGGCAAAGTGAATCCCATTCCGCTTAGCTGGGTGTTTGTGGGATCTCAGATGGAGATCCAGAGAGAGATCAGAGAGGTTGGTGTGGGTGCTGGTTTTCTCTGCTGCTCACTCTCCTCCCTTCCTAGAACACATCCCCAACAGTTCCCAGACAATCACATGCTCCTTAATGCTCCCTTCCTGCTCACAGAACTCCAAAGCCCGTCTGAAAGTCACCCAGAAGGAATTGAAGGACCTTCAGTGGGAACACGAGGTGCTGGAGCAGCGGTTCAGTAAGGTGAGAGCTGCAGGCGGGGCTGGACATCCTGTTCCCTCTCCAAACCCTCTCCAAACCCTCTACAGAGGACAGGGCGTGGGGGCTTAGCAGAGCCTGTGCTTAGCCGAGGGCTTTCCAAAGCTAATCCCAAGCTGGGCGATAGCCGCTGCTCCCAACAAAGCTGCTCCCAGCTCCAGCCTCTCCCACGGTCAGCAGACAGGCCTGGCCTTGTACTTTGCTAAGCAATCGTGCACGCTCCAGTGGGCCCCCCAGGCTACCGGGGGCTGCGTGGGGCGGAGCTGGGGGGGATTGCCACGGGCCTCTCTTGACGGCATTCCAGGGTCGCTCCCCTGCTGGTCGGGGTGCGGTGGCTTGGGATGAGCCCTGCAGAGCGAGTTCTCCCCCCCCTAACCCAGATAAATCTGTTGAGGCAGGAGAGAGCTCATTTGCAATTCGTAGAAATCCCCAGGAATATGAACATTGATCCGAGGCCTCGTTAACAATCCATCATTAAGACAGCGCCAGATTCAGAGTGTTCAGAAATAGACTTTGGAGGAGAGGCTGTGTCCTAATTAGGACACTTATTAACTAGCTGTGAGCCAGGGATTGCTGCCAGCTGTGGGGAGGAGAGGAGAGACCCCCCTTTGCCGGGGGGCCCTTGCTGGAGTCTGAATTAGTGCCACAGGGAGCCTGTTGGGGTGTCCCTTGCCTTGAGGGGAGGAGGAGGAGGAAGGAGAAGCACAGGTGCTGCACCATGGAAGGGAGGAAGCTGTGATGCAGCACCTGCCTTCCCTGTGGGCTGCAGGTGCTGTGGGGAATGGCTGGGCTGAGCTGCCAGACCAGTTTGCTGCCCCATTTGTGCTCCACACCATTAAGCAGACCCCAGTCAGGCTCCTGGAGGCCCCTCTGTGCCCCCTGAGTTCCTGAGGGTGGTGTAACACCGTGCTGTGCCGTCTCCTGGAGCAGGTCCAGGCAGAGCGAGATGAGCTCTACCAGAAGTTCACCAAAGCCATTAACGAGGTGCAGCAGAAGACAGGGTTTAAGAACTTGCTCCTGGAGCGGAAACTGCAGGGACTCCTCAGCCTCCTGGAGCAGAAGGAGGTGGAGCTCGGCGAGGTCGTTGCAGTCTCCAAACTCGACCCCAGCGCCCTGTCCTTGGTCTCACACAAGCTGAAGGTACTGGGGGCTGGCGAGGGCAGGTTTTGGGGGGCGGAGCCTGCTGTGGAGTGCCCACAGCCCCCAGAATGTGCCAGTCCCTTTCCTGTGTGGCTGCAGCTGCCATGTCACTCCATGCTGGCACTCCCAGGGCCATGTGCAGTGCCGCAGGGCACTCGGCTCTGCCTCCAGAGTGGAGCGTGTGGGTGTCAGAGTTTGGCACTGATCTGTCCCTAGATGGGGCCTGTTTGGAGGAGCATGGCCCCAGGCTCTGCGGCACTGCCAACACCCCGTGCTGCCACACAGCCGACTGCTGGTGGGTCCAGTTGCCCCCGAGGGCTCTGTGCACAGGGGTTGCACCCGGTGAACCTCATCTGGCCACAGGGAACAGTGCAGACAAGATCCCGGGGCTCTGCGGCGTCTGCCGTGCTAAAAATACGTTCGCAAAGAGCCCAGAGACCCACATTCCTGCAGCCTGCCACAGCCAGAGCAGCGGAGCAGCACTGGCTGTGGGTCAGGCACAGACATGGAATGACGGCTCCACTGCCTCAGTGCCCTCCCGCTTGTCCCCATGCAGGTCCCCACTGTGAGGGATGGCAGGAAAGCTCTGGAGTGCCCTGGGAATGGGTAGCACAGCCGTGGGATGGGCAGTAGATGTGTCACCTCCCAGCAGGTGGAAGGAAAACACATTCCTGGGATGGCGTCATGGCGTCGGGCTCTCATGCAGCTGCTGGGGTCCCCGAATTCCTCTGCTCAGCTGCCTTGGGGAGCCTGGCTCCCTGTAATTCCCTCAGTGCTGCGGCGGCAGGGTGGTGCTGCCGTAGCAGGTGCTGCAGAGCAGACCGGGATGGCTGTGGTGTTGATCCAGAAGGTCCCTGTCCCTGCCTGGAGCTGGCTGTCCCTGGCAGTGCCAGTCAGAGGGGGCAGGGTGGTGGCCACCTGCCAGGCCGTGCTGCTGGACGCTCTGCTGGCGCTGCAGCTCCTCCATGTGCTGTGCCACACTGCTCCCGCCTGCAGCATGGCCACCATGTCCCCGGGGCTGGGCAGCATGGCCTCACACCCTGTCTCCTTCCACAGGATGTGCTCCACTCCAAGAATGACACCATCCAGGACCTGCAGCTCCAGCTGGCCCGAGTCTGCAAGGTGAGGTTGGGAAGGAATCCTGGAGGGATTTAAAAGCTGTGTGGATGTGGCACTTGGGCTTGTGGGTTAGTGGTGGCCTTGGCAGTGCCGGGGGAATGGTTGGACTCAATCTTAGAGGCCTTTTCCAACCCAAACGACTCTGTGATTCCATGGCTGTGGTATGGGGGATGGAAGTAGGACCAGGGGGTACAGGAAGCCCCTGCCCTGGTGTGGAGGGCTGACGGGGACCCTCCCCTTACAGGCACACAATGACATGCTGCAGACCTTCGAGGCGAAGCTGACTGCCTTCGGCATCCCCCTGGACAACCTGGGCTTCCAGCCGCTGGCCTTCCCCCTGCCGGGGCAGGAGCTGGGGCAGGGCCCCGCCGGACTTGTTTCGGTGCCCACCTGACACTGGCCAGCACCGAGGGTCCCACTGGCACACTGGAAGTGGGGCTGTGCCTTGTTCCTGCTCTGTGCCATTAAACAGACCCCAGTGAACATCTTTGGGACCCTCTCCTCTCCAAGGGGACCATGATGCAGCTGGAGGGCTCTGGGCATCCCACCAACCACACCAGGCTGCCCCTGGGGCTCCCTCCTTCATTCCCCAACCAGAAAGTGATTTTTTTGAGACAAATGGTGGTGTTTGGAGCCTTTAATGGCATTAGTGGCATCGTTCCTGCATCCCTGAGGGGAGGCTGTGCCCCCCTAACTGCCCCGGTACGTTGTGTAGGAGTAGGGGCTGATCAGCAGTGGGACATGAAGCTTCTGTGCTGGATCAGTAATGGTGAAGATGACCTGAGGGAGAGCAAGGAGGCAGTGGTGGGGATTCCCCTCCCAGAGCCAGGCCCAGGGGGTTACAGCCCCCCCAAGCCCGACTGTGGCCCCAGACCTGCCCCAGGTTCCCCACGCTCCGTACCTCCACGTAGGGGTAGAAGCTGGTGTGCCCCAGCCCCTGCCAATACGGTGCTGTCTCAAAGCGCAGCTTGTAGGTGCCAGCCTTGGCCTGTCCCGCTTCCAGGAGGGGCCGGCAGCGCCCATCCATGTCCGTATGCCTGAAACCAGACCGAGCCAGCCCTGCTGTATCCCCAGAACCTGCCCTGATCATACCCTAAGCACTGTCCCTGCTGCTGGCAGCCCCCAGGCGAAGGCTGGGCAGCCAGTTGTGCCAGGAGCCTTCAACCAAGCTCACGGGGACCGGCAGCAGCATTCCTGTCCCATTCTAGTGTCACCAGCTCTCCTACCTTTGTGCCAGCTCCCTCCACTGCGGCCCTGGCTCCACCAGCTGGTCCAGGCGGATGACAAGGCCAGCCGCCGGCAGCCCCGTGACCGTGTTCAGCACGTGGGTGGTCAGGGAGCCGTTCCCCGCATCGGACATGCTGTCAGCCTGCAGCGGAGGGGGAAGGGGGGCTGGGACCTGTCCTGGCAGCACCGTGTGCCTCCCCCTTGGCTGTGCCATAGCCCAGCCCCTACACCCTGCTGTGCCCCACAGCTGGGATATGGGCCCCCACCTCCTTCCCATCCCACAGGGCTCAGCCCCAGGCACCGCAACCACCATAGTGTGGGTGCTGGCTGGTTCCTGCTGGGATGCAGGGCTCTGTGCCTGCAGCAGCACCACGCTCCCTGCTCACCTGCCTGTCCTGGTGGGCCAAAGCATGGCGGCAGCAGCCAGCCTGGACCCAACAAGGAAGTAGCCCCATCCCAGCAGCCCCATCCCTACCCACAGTGTCACGTGCGGGTGGACGTTGACCCGCAGACAGCTCTCTGGAGCTGTCTGGGGTCAAGGTCAGAGCAGCTGGGACAGCTGGGCCCCTTCCTCTGCTGGAGCTCCCAGGCTGGGGTGGGACCACAACTCAGGGCTGCGTCCCAGCAGCCAGCACGGCCAGGCAACCTCCCTGGAGCCGGACCAGCTCCCGCTGCCAGCCCGACACCGGCACCGGCTGACACGGAGAGGCACCCCAGCGAGCTTACCTGGCTGTCCTCGGTCCCGCTCAGCCAGGGGCCTGTGGCCGGTGACACTGCGCAAAACGCCATCCCTGGCCCTGGCCGCCCTTCCTGGCGCCACAGCCTCTCCCCACAGAGCTGGCGTGGCTGGATGCCGCTATCCTGGCACAAGGCTCCCACAGAACTGGGTGCTCCTCCCTGGCTGGGCTGAGCCGGCACAGGCAGCTTCCCACTGGGAGCTGTGCCCAGGAGCCCCACTCGCACCCACTCTCCAGCAGTGCTGCAGCCCTGGGGCTGGTGGCCCAGAGCCCGGCGGGAAGATGGGGCGCTGGGCCAGGAGAAGCCGCTGTGGAGCTGCCATCCCAGCCTCACCTCCCACCATGGAAAGCACCTGGAGCGCGTTGGCGGTGCGGCGGCCGGGTGTGTGGGGCTGCTGAGAGCCAGCACCAGCTTCACCCCAGCCTCACCCTCCCCATCTGTGCTGGGTGGGCAGCAGGGGGGCTCAATGTCTCACCTGCACTGTGATGCGGGCAGTGGTGGTGGCTTGCAGCCCGTGTCCCCCCATGTCGGCTGCCTGGATCTCCAGCGTATATTCAGGGACCACCTGCAGTGAGAGGCTGCGTCACACCTGAACTGGGAGTGGGCACTGGGTGGGGGCCAAGCCCGGGACCCACCTCTGCCAGTAGCCCCGGCACGGCCACAGAGATCAGCCCGGAGTTGCTGTCTATGGTGAACATGCGGGGCTGGGGCTGCTCTGGTGCCTGGCTCAGGATGGAATAGACCACGACTCCGTTGTCGGAGCTCACAGCATCGTCGGCATCAGTGGCCAGCACCCGCAGCACTGGCGTGCCTGGAGTAGGTGGTTATTGGTGAGCTGTCCCCACATCCCCCCAGCACTGCCTCTCAGGCAGTGACGGTGGTCCCACCTGGCTCAGCTCCCTCTGGCACAGAGCCATGGAAAGCTGCCTGGGAGAAGATGGGCCAGTTGTCATTTCGGTCAGTGATGGTGATGATGATCTCCATGGGGTCCTCCACGGGCTGCCCGTTGGCTGACACAGCATGGGCGTAGAGCTGCAAGAACACAGTCAGCCTGTGTGCAGCCCCCAGGACCGTCCCCCCCTGCTGCAGGTCCCACTCACTCACTATGTACTTATCCTTCTCCTCCCGGTCCAGAGGCTTCGTCACCTCCAGCCACCCTGTCTCCTGCTCGATGATGAAGACGCCCATAGGGATAGTGTCCACTCCTTGTCCCGTGATGCTGTAGAAAACCTTGATCTCCTTGTCCTTGTTGGATTTGATCTGGTGGTGAGGCATGAAAAGAGGGGTGAGAGGGGTCCTGGTGCTCCAGGGCCTCTCATTCCCACACCCTGTCCCCTCGGGGCCATGTACCTGCACCAGCTTCTTGGGGAAGGGCCCCTGGTCGTTCTCGACGCAGTTGATGGGGGGAATGACCCAGTCCCTCTTCTGCCGCCGGAGGCCGTGTCTGTGCTCCGGGAAGGTCACCATGTCCCGCGGGATGGAGAGTGAGGCTGCAGGACTGTGGAGGAACATGGCTCTGCTCCGGGGCTCCGGGGTGGCTGTATAGTGCCCCTGGCCCCATTGGGATGGTCCCACTAGGAGGAGGAGGAGGAAGGTGAAGGTACAGCATGACATGGCTGCAGCTGCACTGGCTGCTCCCCCGGGTGCCAGCTGGGGACCTTCCCTGTGGTGTCAGTGACCTTGGCCGCGTCCTGCCAGGAAAGCAGCGCTGGCTTTCCAGCGCTGCCAGCCCCGGCGGGGGGGGAGCCTTATATGGGGGCCCAGTGCATGAGATGCTGCTCCAGGCTGGGGGAGATAAAGGAGCCCAGGAACCCCCCAGGGCACTGTCCCTCGGGGGCCACAGGACCCCCCACTCCAGCAGGGTTGGGGTGCAGACATGGTCCCCCCCGGGGGTCCCAGTGCAGGCCTGGGGGTCCTGTGCAGCCATAGGCGGCAGAGGGGGAGGAGGCACCGGGATTAGCAGGAGGAGATCGGGGGGGGGG